CGGATAATATACCAAAATTATTATTTTTTGTGTACGCTCCGATCAAAGTGTATATACAAATTTTGATCCTATATTGGACTTTATTTGTAAGAATAAATCGACCAGCTTACATACTTGTACAGGTAATAATTCAAAATTTTAAACATCTATTTCTCAATCGATTGGCAGCTTAAAATCTTTATTTTTAGAATCCACCTTCAATTCCAACGCTAATGATTGTCCAGTTCGTTTGTTGGGCACGGCAAACGGATTTGATAATCGATTGGCATAATTTTGGGTATACCATTCTTGGAATTCGATTAGGCCACAATAGTCGTATAGTTAAAATTGCGAAATGGTTGAATTATTATTATTATTATTATTATTATATAATGTAATTTTCATTGTGCTTATATGTCAATGCCTTTAATTTAGGTATGAAAAATTATACGGTAGGCGCGCACATGCACATTTGACCGTCACTGCTGCCATGCATCGTGAATTAATGTATAAATGGGAGGTTCAGTAAGCGTTTTCTACTTAAGTATAGTTATTTATTATATTATGATTTTTTTTCTTAAAAAAAATTTTTTTCACAGAGGTGCCATATCTACCTTGTATGATCGACCACAATCACATTTTAAAAAATTAGATTTAGAAGAAATTCATGAGGTTATAAATAGAACATAATTGAGAAATTCTAATTATGTTTAACTTGTTATTCACTTCTTTTCTTGCTACTCTATTTATAGTTTCTTACAAGATTTGATTTGGAAGAAATTATTTCTAAGCAATCTATTGGGGCAAACTTTTTGCCTCCATCATCCACGACATCTACCTTATTAACTACTAAACCTTCATCAGATACTCCCGCAAAGTATCGCAGCGATCGTCCTATATTAATAGTTAGTAGTACAAGTTGGACTGCCGATGAAGATTTTTCAATACTATTAAAAGCGGCAGAACAATATGACCAAGCCGCAGATAAAACCTCTAAAAATAAGTTCCCCAAGTTAGTTTTTATCATCACAGGTAAAGGTCCCTTAAAAGACAAGTACGAACGGGAAATCAGTAAGATTTCATTGAAAAATGTGAGAATAGTGACAACGTGGCTATCTGCAGAAGACTATCCGTTAATATTAGGTATATAATTCTATTCAATCAAGCAGACGCTTATCATTTATTGATTAACGGTTCAAACATTATAATAGGATGCGCTGATTTAGGAATTTCTCTTCATAAATCCTCCTCTGGAATGGATCTACCAATGAAAGTAGTTGATATGTTTGGATGTGGGCTACCTGTCTGTGCGATTAAATTTGATTGGTGAGTTCTTTCGATAATTAGTATTATTTTGTTCAAAATATAAGCTTGTAAATGTTTGATTAACTCATTCGATTGGTTTTAGTATTGGTGAATTGGTGCAACATAATAAAAATGGCATTATATTCAATAATGAGGAAGAGTTGGCAAGACAACTAACT